ATACTACCAACAGAGTAGAACACTTAGAAGATAGAACATCAGACAATGAAGACAAAGTATTTCAACTGGAAAAGAACATAGACAGCTCAGCAAGACTGTTAAGAAACCATGAGCAGAACATCCAAGAAATATGGGATAACATTAAGAGACCAAACTTAAGAGTCATTGGGATACAGGAAGGTACAGAACTCCAAACCAAAGGAATGAGAAGTCTATTCAATGAAATAATACAAGAAAACTTCCCAGACTTGAAGAATGAGACAGAATCCCAAATCCTAGAAGCCTACAGGACGCCGAATGTGCAAAATCATAAGAGATCCACACCTAGACACATTATAATGAAGATGCCCAACATACAGAATAAGGAGAGAATTTTAAAAGCTACAAGAGAAAGGAAGCAGATTACATTTAGGGGCAAGCCAATCAGGATAACAGCTGATCTTTCAACACAGACTCTGAAAGCTAGAAGATCCTGGAATAACATATTTCAAACACTGAAAGATAATGGGTTCCAACCAAGAATTGTGTATCCAGCGAAATTAAGCTTCAGGATGGAGAATGAAATTAAAACCTTCCACGATAAACAAAAGTTTAAAGAATTCGCAGCTAGAAAACCATCTCTTCAAAACATCCTAGCCAAAGTATTACAGGAAGAGGAAATGGAAAATAACAATGAAAACCAACAGTGGGAGGTAGGACAGTAAAGGGGGGGGGGAAACAATCAAAGAGGAAAACAAACAATGTTTAGTAACAGAAATAAACAAATATGGCTGGAAGAACAACCCATATCTCAATAATAACCCTAAATGTTAATGGCTTAAACTCACCAATTAAGAGACACAGGCTAGTAGAATGGATCACAAAACAAGACCCAACAATATGCTGCCTACAGGAGACGCATTTGATAGGAAAAGACATACATAGGCTGAAGGTGAAAGGTTGGGAAAAATCATATCACTCATATGGACTTCGGAAACAAGCAGGCGTGTCCATACTCATATCAAATAAAATAGATTTCAAGCCAAAGTTAATCAAAAGAGATAAAGAGGGACACTACATACTGCTTAAGGGAACCATACACCAACAAGACATAACAATCATAAATATTTATGCCCCAAACAATGGTGCAGCTATGTTCGTCAAACAAACTCTTCTCAAGTTCAAGAGTCTAATAGACCACCACACCATAATCATGGGAGACTTCAACACACCTCTCTCGCCACTGGACAGATCTTCCAAACAAAAGTTGAATAAGGAAACTATAGAACTCAATAACACTATTAATAACCTAGACCTAATTGACATATATAGAGTATACCACCCAACATCAAGCAGTTACACTTTTTTCTCAGCAGCACATGGATCCTTCTCAAAAATAGATCATATATTATGTCACAGGGCAACTCTTAGACAATATAAAGGAGTAGAGATATTACCATGCATCTTATCTGATCATAATGGAATGAAACTGAAAATCAACGATAAAAGAAGGAAGGAAAAAGCATACATCAATTGGAGAATGAACAATAGGTTACTGAATGATCAATGGGTTATAGAAGACATCAAGGAGGAAATTAAAAAATTCTTAGAGATAAATGAAAACACAGACACAACATATCGGAATCTATGGGACACATTGAAAGCAGTTCTAAGAGGAAAATTCATTGCTTGGAGTTCATTCCTTAAAAAAAGAAAAAACCAACAAATAAATGATCTCATACTTCATCTCAAAATCCTTGAAAAAGAAGAGCAAAACAACAGCAAAAGAAGTAGAAGGCAAGAAATAATTAAAATCAGAGCTGAAATTAATGAAATCGAAACAAAAGAAACAATTGAAAAAATTGACAAAACTAAAAGTTGGTTCTTTGAAAAAATAAACAAAATCGACAGACCCTTAGCGATGCTAGTGAAGAGAAGAAGAGAGAGAACTCAAATTACTAGCATACGGGATGAAAAAGGCAATATCACAACAGACACTTCAGAAATACAGAAGATAATCAAAAACTATTTTGAATCCTTATACTCCAATAAATTAGAAGATAGTGAAGGCATAGATAAATTTCTTAAGTCATATGATCTGCCCAGATTGAGTCAGGAGGATATAGAAAACCTAAACAGACCAATATCAATTGAGGAGATAGAAGAAACCATCAAAAGACTACCAACTAAGAAAAGCCCAGGTCCCGATGGGTATACAGCAGAATTTTACAAAACCTTTAAAGAAGAACTAATACCAATACTTTTCAAGCTACTTCAGGAAATAGAAAAGGAGGGAGAACTTCCAAATTCATTCTATGAGGCCAACATCACCCTGATACCTAAACCAGACAAAGACACTTCAAAGAAAGAAAACTACAGACCAATATCTCTAATGAACCTAGATGCAAAAATCCTCAATAAAATTCTGGCGAATCGGATACAAAAACATATAAAAAAAATTGTACACCATGATCAAGTAGGATTCATCCCTGGGATGCAAGGCTGGTTCAATATACGGAAATCAATAAATGTTATTCACCACATCAATAGACTTAAAAATAAGAACCATATGATCATCTCGATAGATGCGGAAAAAGCATTTGACAAAGTACAGCATCCCTTTATGTTCAAAACTCTAGAAAAACTAGGGATAACAGGAACATACCTCAATATTGTAAAAGCAATCTATGCTAAGCCTCAGGCTAGCATTATTCTGAATGGAGAAAAACTGAAGGCATTCCCTCTAAAATCTGGAACAAGACAGGGATGCCCTCTCTCTCCACTTCTCTTCAACATAGTTCTCGAAGCACTGTCCAGAGCAATTAGACAGACGAAAGAAATTAAAGGCATAAAAATAGGAAAAGAAGAAATTAAATTATCACTATTTGCAGATGATATGATTCTATATCTAGCAGACCCAAAAGGCTCTACAAAGAAACTATTAGAGCTAATAAATGAATTCAGCAAAGTGGCAGGATTTAAAATCAACACGCATAAATCAAAGGCATTCCTGTATATCAGCGACAAATCCTCTGAAATGGAAATGAGGACAACCACTCCATTCAAAATATCTTCAAAAAAAATAAAATACTTGGGAATCAACCTAACAAAAGAGGTGAAAGACTTATACAATGAAAACTACAGAACCCTAAAGAGAGAAATAGAAGAAGATCTTAGAAGATGGAAAAATATACCCTGTTCATGGATAGGCAGAACTAACATCATCAAAATGGCGATATTACCAAAAGTTCTCTATAGGTTTAATGCAATGCCAATCAAAATCCCAATGGCATTTCTTGTAGAAATAGAGAAAGCAATCATGAAATTCATATGGAAAAATAAAAGACCCAGAATAGCAAAAACAATGCTAAGCAAGAAGTGTGAATCAGGCGGTATAGCGATACCAGACTTCAAACTATACTACAGAGCAATAGTAACAAAAACAGCATGGTACTGGTACCAAAACAGGCGTGTGGACCAATGGTACAGAATAGAGGACACAGAAACCAATCCACAAAACTACAACTATCTTATATTTGATAAAGGGGCTAAAAGCATGCAATGGAGGAAGGATAGCATCTTCAACAAATGGTGCTGGGAAAACTGGAAATCCATATGCAACAAAATGAAACTGAATCCCTTTCTCTCGCCATGCACAAAAGTGAATTCAAAATGGATCAAGGAACTTGATATCAAATCAGAGACGCGCCGTCTGATAGAAGAAAAAGTTGGCTACGATCTACAGTCGGTGGGGTCGGGCTCCAAATTCCTCAATAGGACACCCATAGCACAAAAGTTAATAACTAGAATCAACAAATGGGACTTACTCAAACTAAGAAGTTTTTTCTCAGCAAAAGAAACAATAAGAGAGGTAAATAGGGAGCCTACATCCTGGGAACAAATCTTTACTCCTCACACTTCAGATAGAGCCCTAATATCCAGAGTATACAAAGAACTCAAAAAATTAGACAATAAGAGAACAAACAACCCAATCAACAAATGGGCCAAGGACCTGAACAGACACTTCACAGAGGAGGACATACAGTCAATCAACAAGTACATGAAAAAATGCTCAACATCTCTAGCTGTCAGAGAAATGCAAATCAAAACCACCCTAAGATACCATCTCACTCCAGTAAGATTGGCAGCCATTAGGAAGTCAAACAACAACAAGTGCTGGCGAGGATGTGGGGAAAAGGGTACACTTGTACATTGCTGGTGGGACTGCAGATTGGTGCAGCCAATTTGGAAAGCAGTATGGAGATTTCTTGGAAAGCTGGGAATGGAGCCACCATTTGACCCAGCTATTCCCCTTCTTGGTCTATTCCCTAAAGACCTAAAAAGAGCATGCTACAGGGACACTGCTACATCGATGTTCATAGCAGCACAGTTCACAATAGCAAGACTGTGGAACCAACCTAGATGCCCTTCAATAGACGAATGGATAAAAAAAATGTGGCATTTATACACAATGGAGTATTACTCTGCATTAAAAAATGACAAAATCATAGAATTTACAGGGAAATGGATGGCATTAGAGCAGATTATGCTAAGTGAAGCTAGCCAATCCCTAAAAAACAAATGCCAAATGTCTTCTTTGATATAAGGAAAGTAACTAAGAACAGAGTAGGGACGAAGAACAGGAGAAGAAGATTAACATTTAACAGGGATGAGAGGTGGGAGGGAAAGGGAGAGAGAAGGTAAATTGCACGGTAATGGAAGGAGACCCTCAGGGTTATACAGTGGAGGGGGTAGAGAGAGAGGAGGGGAGGGGAGGGGAGAGGTGGGGAGGGGGGAGGGTGGATGATGGGAAAGGCAGCGGAGCACAACAGACACTAGTATGGCAATTTGTAAATCAATGGATGTGTAACTGATGTGAATCTGCAATCTGTGTATGGGGTGAAGGTGGGAGTTCATAACCCACTAGAATCAAAGTGTGGAATATGATATGTCAAGAAATTTGTAATGTTTTGAACAACCCACAATAAAAAATTAAAAAAAAAAAAAAAAAAAAAAAAAAAAAAAAGTGACTTCAGTGAGGAAACTCATTAATAAGACACACCAACAAGCATCTTTCCAAGGCCTCATCAGAATGTTCCAACAGCAAATAAATACCTTGGTGATAGGTTGAGAAGCAGGAGAACCACTCCATAATGCAGACACCCTGTGGGTGGAAGACAAGCGATGGGTAGCATTTGGGAAGCCAATAATGATCTTTTTTTTTTTTTAATTTTAATATTCCAATCTCTGGATGAAGTAGGTGCTCAAGAAATGTTGAACAAATGACTATGCATTCCATTCCCTCCCTGTTAGCACTTACTTTCTTCCCCAAATTTGCCATCCCCCAAACACTGTCCCTAATAAATAATCCAGCTGCAATTACTTTCAACCACGTTCTATCAGAAGAATTTGAGTATGTGGGACTACTTAAAAATATCTTGACTCATGCTGTCAAATAAAGCCCACGTATTATTGAATATGATGCATACATTAAAAGAATGAGGTAATGACTGTCTAAAGGACCTAACTTTGTGGGTAGCAATATTCTGATTATTAAAAAGGAACTTCTCGGAAACCACCAGCTTTTGCCCACTCACACAACTTCCCTCCTTCTGACATTTGGAAAAAATAACTTTCTCTGTCTTTGAACTCAAAACACTGATTATCATAGTTGTGTGGGAATTTAGAAACCATATAATCCAATTCTCTCATTTAATAAATGAGGATATAAAGATTGGAGTAGCTTAATAATTAGCTCAAGATCTCACTTCTAGTTAGAATTACTAGAGCCAAAGGACAATGACCAGTATCTCAGACTGGTGATACTTCTCCCACAGAGTACTGAATTTTTTTGTAGGAGATCAGGGATGAATATTCACCAGATCTATGGAAGCAACCTATTATGGTTATTAGGAGTAGGCACAAATGGAAAAGAATGAATGAAATAGAACCATTTATATATAATAACTTGGAAACACCTCCAGAGACTATTGAATGAAGAAAGTAGCTGCAAAACAGTGCACAGGGTAGGAATCCATTTATGTGAATAAAAATGGGGAGAGCAGATTTTCTCCAGACAAGGTATGGAAGGATGGATTCCTCCCAGAAAAGAGTGCAGAGACCTAAGGAAAGTTTGCCCTCATCTGCATTGTTTGAATTTTTGCAAGGAGAATCCATGTATTAATTGCTTAAGAATTAATTTCAAAGAGCAAAATATTATATATTTTATTTTGCTCCATGTCACTCTAATCAATGGCTTTGTTCTTACCTCTGTGGATCATACTTAGCCTTTTGTATTTTTTTTAATTTTAATTTTTGTATTTGTAGCCTTTTGTCTTCATTTAGTAGAATGTAGTAGAATTCATCTCATGGCTCTAGGGGTCATGGTCAGACAGAAATGGAAAGGAGAGGGAGAGAGTGTTTGGAGCTTATTTTTTCAAAAAAATATCCATTGCCCTCTCCTTCGCCTTGATTGCCATTTTATACATCTAACATAATAGTAATGAAAATGATAATACCTGAATGTGTAAATATTATTACTAAAAGTGTCAATAGATAAGCTCTTCTGAGCACTTCTACCCAGAGGGGCTCCTAAGTGCCTTCATGCATATCCTTCTCATCTAATCTCATGAGCACACAGTGAGGTGAGTACTGTTATTATCCCCATTGAAGAGATGAAAAACTGAGAGTCATCATGAAACCAAGAAACCTTGTGGCCTTGTTGTGACTGGCAGGTGGAGGACCCTGGATTTGAACCGAGTCAGTTGACTGCAGAGTCTGTGCCTGGGCTTGGGGGTGGGTAATTCTTATTGAAACACTGACCAGCAGTGTCTGTTGGAGGAAAGTACAGATTGGAAAACAGGATTTGGTCCAAACCAGAAATCTCAGGACTTCTGAGAATCCTTCTGTCTGAGCACCTTCCCCCTTGCTTCTTCCCTGGACTCCTCTGAGCCTTTTCACTTAAGATTTCAATTGCCCTGGGTTACTAAGTCAAGCACATAATTCTATCAGGCAATGTGTAGCGAAGGGGAAAATATTCTCCTCTGGAGAGTGAAACCCCATCTACTGTCATGACAAGCCTAGCAACAATTTCTCAGTCACCAGTTTATTTTATTTAAAACAAGAACAGTAAATCAAAACAGCAAATGTCTTTTAAATGGGATAAGGGTTGGTCTTGTTCCTGGAGCCAGTGAATAATTCCTTTTCTAATATTTGATTTGGATGTCTGTGTTATTCCTTAAAGGTATGGAAAGAATAAAGTGACAAATTTTGAAATTATTTTTATAGCTTATATAGGCAGGTACTTTTCAAGAAACTGATCATCTTATGCTAAATAACACCTTTCTCCCTGATTCCCACCTCTGTCCAAATTTCAGGAATTTATTTTACTATTCCTCTATTCATGACCAAAGCATCTCTGATTCATCACTGAAAGTTTGAGTAAGAACACAGAAACTGTTAAGTATATAAATGTATGCTTAGGTATTTATGTATATTATACATGTATATTTATTTATATATTCATTTCTGTAAGTTTATCTGTTGATAAAAGAAAAATTCTGAGATATCCTAAATTTAATCACAAGGGCTGGAGAAGGGAAGAGAGAAGACATAAGGGAAGTTAATCAGTTAACAGCTATGGGGCAAACCACCAAAGTATAGTTTCATATTCCCAAATGTAGTTTGCACCCTTGACTTATATCTCCAGGCATCAACCACCAGGCTCCCCTGGTCAGGCTTATCAATGGACCTTCTGATCTCTTAACCCCAAACAGTCTTTAAGAAAGAAACACATCTCCTTAAGAACTGTCCCTTTCTTCTCATTATCCCAACCCTCTTATCTATAGCCAAAGTAGTCTCAATATAGACAATTTATACTTTCCTCCTCCACATATTCATTATGGAAACATTGCTGGTTCTTAGGTCATGCAGACATATTCCTAACCACTGTCCAGCCCTGCTGCTGATTGCTGCGGCACTTGTTCCAGAATCAAGTCCTTTTCTTGCTAGCATCTGTAAACAGCTCAATAAATCCTTTTGTTTCAGAGACCCCTCCATCTTAAGAGTTTAGTTAAATTATCTATCTATCTATCTATCTATACATATATACACACATATATATATCTTTAATTGGGAAATTTTGCATAATTTGGGAGCCATTTGATAAAGTATATCTATATCTATATCTATATCTATCTATATATGTGTATATATACATACATATATATAATATATATACATGTGTATGTGTATGTAGACACACACAGTCATGCATTGCTTATGAGGGGGACATGTTCTAAGATATGCCTGGTTAGGTAACTTGTCTGTCATTGTGGAAACAGTATACAGTATCCTTATACAACTAAGGTTGCTATGACATTACTAGGCAATAAGAGTTTTTCAGCTGCAGTAAAATCTTATGGAGCTGCCATTGTACACATGGTCCATGGTTGACTGAAATGTTCAGTAAACGTGTATTTGATGTGCACACACATATATGTGTGTTTGCATTTTGCTCTAATTGGAAAAATTTTTTTTGCTTTAACTTGGGAACTATTTGATGAGCTGTTCTACAATGCTTCTCCTGCCCCCCCAGACAATCACATTTTTGCCTAGTGTGCTGAACTGATTTTTTTTCACTCCTGCTGACTCCTGCCTAGAGAAACCACCAGTAGTTTCAAAATTGCACTAATTTTTCCAAATATCTTGTTAATATTTTCCTTTTTGAGAGAACAACTCTGCTTTCTCCTTTTTTCTACCATGTGGTGTGGCACATGTGTGCATCAAAGATGAAGCTGAAACGTGTCTCTCTCTTTTTTTTCTTAGCTCCTCTATTTCTACACTTGTAAATATAGTAAGTGGGTCTCTTTCCCTGAGTGCCTGCTCGGTGCTCACTCTGTGCCTGGGCCCCAAGATAGGAGGGTGATTTAGCGGCTGTGAGCCCCACCATCATGGAGTTTCTGGCACACCCTGCCAGCCTGCAGAACTCTCGGCTCTGCTGAGCTCCCTGGTTACCAGGACTACAGCACTTCCACATGGATGAGGAGTTTTGACAAATGTGTGGTACCCATTCCTGCAAACAAAGCCATTTATTTTAGGCTGAAGCATTTGCAGGAAAATTTAAATAATTTATCTAGAATGTGTCAAATTGAATGCTTTCATTAAATCTTCTTGGATTTCTTCTTTGGAACATTTATAAACTAAAAGCCTTGTTATCTTAAGTTTCTCAACTTACTCTCTGCCTTTGACTGCAAACAGGATGTTCGGACTAAACATTCTGAGCCTGAGAGAAATGTCTTAGGTCATCACTGAAGTGAGTAAGGGCCCCACTCAATACTGAATGCTTGGGACAAATAAGAGATTTTTTTTTTTTTTGAGCCACAACCACTGCTAAATGGTTATGAGCCAAAGACCAGGAGACATCCCCAAACCCATTCTTCTCCAAAATACTGTATTTCATGAAAATACGTGTTCCTGAAAATCCCAATAAAAAAATGGAATCCTCTTGGAAGGAAGGCCAATCGACCCAGGAGGACCAGCCCCAAACTTGTGCTTGCATTGACTTTTAGTAGGATTCCTCTGTTTGGGGACTGGCCAGCACAGGTGACCTAGGGATGAGACACTGCCCTTGATAGTCAGAACTTCAGAGGGGAAAGGAAGGAAAGGGAGAAGTGCTGGGCAGACTTCCCCTGGAAAGTTCTGGAAAGTCAAGGCCTAAGGGAACTCTCTCTAAACATGGAGGGGACATGTTATCTACCTTACCCTGCAGAGGGTCAGCTCCTGTTTGCCTCTAAGCAACTTATGACACATTTCAAAGTACAAATAGAACTTTTCCCTTCAAGAGTCTTGATGAATGTTTCTGCATGTGACCAGGGTTTAATGTGGCAAGGATATTTTGAAGGTGTCTCATCCTTACTGGGGCCTTCAGGACTGGCTGCACTTCATGTCCCCTTCTCCCAGTGCACTGACCTACCATCCCAGAAGGGCCCCTGCCAGAGCATATTGTGCTGGGCGGTCACGGGTGGCAGAAACTGCTGGCCTCTCTTTCGATAACCCACAGGACACATTTGCACCTCCAGCACTTTCCGCACAAAGCGGTGCGTGTAGCAACCCCCATGTGTGGTTCAGAAGCCGTTGGCTATGCTGCTTTATAATTCATCTTTCTCTTCGGCTTCTGGAGAGTCCAGTGAGAGATCCAGACCCTCCTGCTGTCTGTTCGGTGAGCAAACTATTACAGTTTTGGGAATTCTTCATTTTCACTCTTTTTAGAAGTAAAATAGTCATTAACAGAAATAAACCTTGGCTTCACCAGGATATATGTTAGTGAAAATCCAAGGAAGATTTTAGTTATCACTTGAATTAGTTATAAGCATAATAAATTTACCCTGTTGAAAAATTAAAGTTGGAAAAATAACATATTAATGGAGGACAAATTACTTACACCAGTGTTCCCAGGTTGAATGGCAATAGACAATTTAGTCAAAACATATCTTTACCCTTTTTGTGTGTCTGATTAATCTGCTGAATCTCTGATTATAGTGAGCTGATGTTTCCCCCAAAATAATTGGTTTTGAGAATTGATAATAGGCCTCTATTTGTCTATAGCACTTGCTATGACTTATTCATGTGCAATAAAGCCCTTCAAGTGGATTACACAATTCATTTTATGTAGTTGAAATAAGTACAATATAAGTGGGCTCAGAAGAATCCAATTGGAAGTAAGTCAATTAAGCACATTGACTTATTCCTGTTTTTGACCATAAGTATGGGAGTTGTTTGAATGTATTTTTCATTATTTGAAACCTTTCTTTCCCAGCATGTAGTTATTATGGTGGGAGAATTGAATGACATTGAAAATCCTGGAAATGAGGAGAAGCAAACTAAAACAGCAAGCACCAAGCACATGAAGGGAGAGACGAGTTCTTTAGGTAAGTCTCTGGTTAGGCATCATTGTAGGCTCTCCTTGAGAAAAGGGAGCACATTACCTTTGGAGGGGCAATACTGCTGCATTCACAGTGCTCTGGAGTTGCACAATTCCTCTGAGCACAGTGGCTTTAATTAAGTAAAATGGGAGGTTAAGAAAAAATAAGCAAAGATAATCAAACAACACTTGTCTTTTTTATGTAGCAATGTTCTAGAAAAAAATCTCAACTGATTTTACCAATTTAAATGGCACAAGGCAATTATCTTTGTTTTCTCATCTCTCTTTTCCAGAGTTTGGGTGCATCCTAATTTTTCTTGATTATACTCACAAAAAATGTTGACTATTATATATACACAGTTAATATTATAATTATCACGACTATCATCTCCTGTGTTCATTTTCTCACGCTGTTTCTTATAAATCATGGAGTGGGATGCATGGGGCTATTTGTGGGAGGAGGGATCAAGCTAGAACCATAAGTCAAGAGTCCTGCCTCACTGAGTGGGCCCCTGACTCCACATTAGATGTTCAGGGTCCTTTGCCTCGCTGTCTAATTGAGAAGAGCATTAGTATAGCAGAAGCTCCATCCCAAATAAGTTTCCAAATGGGAATTTTTGCAACATTCTTGAAAGATATGTGCATGAGGCTCACAGGTTATTTGTTGCAGTTGTAACACTAAAGCTTTATTCCAGTCTTTCCCGGCATTTCAACAGTGCTCAGAAGCCATCATGAGCTGGAAAATGAAGCTTGGTTGTCACAGGTCAATCTTCCTTTTTGAGTAAAAGAAGAATAATAAGTGAAAATACCCCAAACTCCCACTTGTCCTGTTTAAATGGCAAATTTCTCTAACCACAAAAACATATTTGGAGAATAATAGAGAAGATAAATATGGAGCAGCTCTTAGATGCTCTTAGAATTAGTAGTATTGGAGGGAAAGATAATGACACTGTAGTTATGAAAGAAAATCTCCTTATTTTTAGGAGTTGTGTGCTGACAAGAGTGACGTTTCATGATGTCTACAATTTATTTTCCAAGTACGCTGAAATTATAAATACAGAGATAAAGTAAATATGGTAAATATTAAAAATATTAAATTTAGATACTGGGTGTATAGGCAGTCACTGAACTAATAATTAAAGAAATATTCCTGGATACTAATAAAACTCAGCTGTCAAGGGCTTCAACTTTGAAAACATTCACTCTTTTTTAAAAATATTTTTTAGTTGTAGTTGACATAATACCTTTATTTTATTTATATGTGGTGCTGAGGATCAAACCCAGGGCCTTGCATGTGCCAGGCGAGTGCTCTACTGCTGAGCCACAACCCCAGCCCAAGAACATTCACTCTTTAGTAAACAAGAATTTCAGTAGCTATCCAGTTTAGAGCCATTCAGAGATGCCTTCAGAACCCAGCTTGTTCTGCCCATCTGCCTTGGCATCCTTGGTGGCTGGTTGTAGACACTGTCTGTTCATGATTGCAAGGTAACTGCTGTGCTCTAGGTATCATAGCCATGTTCAAAGGCAGGCTGTAGGTGGGAAGAGCAAGGCAGGCTGTCTTCTTATCAGAAAGCACATCTTTCCCAGAAGCCCCCGAAAGAATTCCATGGAACCTCATGAGTAGAAGAACAGTCCTGTGGCCAATCCTAGCTACGGGGGAGGCTGAAAATAGAACCACCTTCAAAGATTGACATCCACTGTGATTCATCCCCTGGGATATGGGTGCATTGTTACCCTGCACAAAATCATTATGCTGTCAAGGGGGAAAAGGGAGAAATATCAGTGACTGGTCATTTGCCAAACAGATGCTCTTTCCTCTAGAAAGGAAATTGTTCTGTTTCATTAGGTACAGAGGTGATGTTAAACGAAACTTAAAACTCAAACCCATTCTGCTCTGTATCATGTTGAAGTTTAACTGAAGATAAATGGTGTCCAAAAGGACACTTTAGGTTTCTCTTTTTGTGTACACACAATCTCTTTTGCTTAAGGAAAGGTGAACTTTGTACCATTCATGAAAACTATCTTTTTGCTTCACTCTCAATTTTAGTAACACATTTCAATATACAGTTTACTTGCAAAGATTGTTCTGTACAGCAGAATGGAATAGATGCTCCTGCCTGTCATATTATTAGCCATGGTGTGTTGAGTGTCCTCTAAATGCAAGTTCTAATATGTGGGTTTCGTGTCCCCTCATTTATGCAAGAAGGAAATGCTTAGCTGTTACAAAAAGACTTAAATTAAACCTGAGTCATCAGACTTAATAAAGAAAGAGAAAACTGGAAGTCTTCAACAACATTTTAGTTTCTACTTCCTTTGCAGCCTGTGTGAGACCACTACAATAGAATACTCTTGACATCCAGGTTTTTAAAGTGGAAACCCATCTATTGATCATAATGAATAATAGGTACAATGAAACTTTTCTAGAGTCTTCCTGTTCCTTTCACTGTCCATTGGTTACAAAATAGGCTTTCTTTTACAAAAGGTGAGATACCCTCAAGGTACGTGGATTGGAATAAATCCTCCGACTAGTAATAGCCACCTAAACATCACTGGGGGTCATAGTTGTGTATCCTGGGAAGACACAGCAGGAGATGGACTACACTCAGAGGTCTTGGTGCATAAGTCCTTCATCCCTGTTAGTGCACTTGTCTGATGATTTGGCATACGGGGTTGATGGTTGAGGTCTAACTTATTATACTATGATTGACAGCTGAGAGCAGCTGTGAGGTGCTGTGCTTTTCTCTGGAGGCTTAGTACAGAGAAGCATAAGCTGACAGCACTCTAGGGCTGTGACATTCTTCTAGGCCATTTATTGTCTCAGGAAAATCTAATTGAAAAGAAACTCAGCAGAGCCAAGGGTGGTTGAGATGAGCCAATATGAAGAGACTAGAAGTTAGAGGTCAAGGTGAAGGTGGTGAGTATGCCATTGGGGAACTAGAACAAAGTGTACGAATGGATGGACAGGTCAGTGAAAAGGGCAGGTACATCAGGCAAGGAAATGAGATTTGGAGTAAGTCAGCAAAATAGCAGAGAGCAGATCCAGACCATGGCCAGAGGAGAACTTTAGGTTCTTTTATTGCACCTCTATTTGTTCACTTAACAAATATTTTTCAAGTGTCTACCATGAGCTGGGAACTGTCCTCAGTGCTAGGAAGATGGTAGTGAATAAGAAAAAAATTTTCTCCCTCAATGGAGCTTAACTTTGAGCAGGAAGAGCAAATTATAAACAGGAAAAAAATAAATTATAACTAAATTATATAGTATGTCAGGGACAAAGAATAAGGGGAAAATCAGCAAAAGAACTGAGAAATACAAGTACATAGTTGCTGCACTTATAAATCATAGCCATGAGCCTGGTGTGGCTATTAAATTAGTTAAAATTCAAAATTCACTTCCTAAGTCTCACATTTCCTGTCCTAGGTAGATAGTGGGTATCCTGTTGACAGTGAGGTTATGTTCCCATTATTGAAGAAAGTTCTATTGGTTAGCACTAGTTGGTCTAGACAATACACAAATTTTATTTCTATATGTTTACTTTTTAAATGTTGAGATGTGGTCTTACTACATTTCCCAGGCTGGTCTCAAACTCCTGGACTCCAGCCATCCTCCTGTTTCAGCCTCCAAATAGCTGGGACTACAGGCATGCACCACTGTGCCCAGCTCCAGTATGCTATTTTTACATTGAATAGAAAGAGAAGGTGCCAATGAAGAGAGAACTTTTGATGGTTGATGGGGTAAGTCCACGTGCATGCCTGGAGGAGGAGTATTCCAGACAGAGGGAACAGCCAGTGCAAAGATTCAGAGATGAGAATTAGGCTCATGAGGCTGGAACATAATTCATGGGAATAGAGTAGTAAAAGATGAGGTAAGAGAAATAAATGGAGGGGAAAGGATCCTGTAGGAGCCACTGTAAGGACTTTGGATTTTGTTGAGTAGATGTGGCCACTGTTTGAGGTTTTAAGCAGAGGAGTTAATAATCTGATTGAGGTTTTCTATAGGACCACTCTTGCTGCTATGATCAAAATAGACTGAAAGTGAGGCACGGTAGAAGTTGGAGATTAGTTATGGGACTATTGAAATAATCCAGGTGTAAGATGGTGAAATGGAGGTGGGGAAAGTAATTGGATTCAGGAATTGTGTATATATTTTAAGATTCAGGCAACATGATGAGTGTAAAAGAGAGAATACAAAGTTTTCTGGTCTGAGCAGCAGGAAGGATGAGGAGGAGGCACCCTGTAGCTGGAAATCCATGGGGGAGACAGTGGCTTTGAGGATCTCCCTCTTTCCTGTTTCTTCTAGGTAAGGAGGCGTTTCCCTGTGGACTTGCTTCCTGCCCTTTATTTCTTCTTATGGTTCTCCACCTTTTTTACCCTTTTTACCCAACCTCCAGTTTTATTGTTAGATGTTTTACTTTTTCTTTTATTCAATCTTCATATCATAGGTCTCCTGACCTAGAGAGCAATGTCCATCTCAATTCTCATCAGTAGCTTATCTCCCTTGAGACCCTCTGACTTTGCCGAGGGGTCACTTCTACTGAAAGCCTTCATCCTGCATTTTCAGTTTGGGACAGCTGACACTTGTGTGTTTTTTCCATCACACTCTGGGCTTCTTCCTTTAATGCTTCTTTTAAGCCTTTAGTAATGGCTTGCTTGCTTCTCTATCTCTAGACTTGAGAAAAGGGACCTAGCTGAATATTTCCCCAGTGGTCACTTGGTGACAATGAGTGACGAGGGCTTCAAGTCAAAGAAAAACAAACTGAAAACTGAGAATTCCCTAGCTTGTTGGGCAAACCATATGCTTTTCTGTTTCTGGCATTTCTACTTAGCATTTAACTACTTTCTGAAGCATATTCATGCTAAACAGCATTTTACTTTCTCTGCATTAGTGGCAAAATTTGCTTTAAATAAATCTTTAGATGTATTTTACTATTTACTAACATCTATGATTTGTGTATGTGTGTTTTAGGAGCAATTTTGATCTACCTCATGGGCCCAAGATTTTTGATTTATGTAAGCTGTGCCTTATCAATATGGGTAAGATGAATCAAAATGAAGTTAATATTTTTGAATGGTTAAGAGAACTGAAATGTTAAGGACATTAGAATGTCTCAAAATATTGAATGCAAAGCATGTGCATATTTTTGTTTAAAGATGTTTTGAATTACCAAATATAGGACAAATAGAGGAAAAGGCATAATGTTTATAAAAGATGATAATGAATAATTACAAAATGAATATCATTTAAGCCATCTCAATGGAGACCTATGATGTCGCCAGCACCTAGGACGTCCCTCATGGGTCTTTCCCAGTCACATCCACTTCCTTACCAATGGGAAGTGGCTATGAGCCTAACATTAGGGCATTTATTTCCTTGTTTTTCTTTAGTTTTACCACTAGTGTAGTCATCCCTAAATGATATTTAGCTTACTCTTTGAACTTTACATAAAATAAATCCTACCATATATATTCTATCCTGCCTTACTTTTTTGCTCAAGATTATGTTTTTTAATATCCCTGTTTTTGTAAAAGTCCTGGCTTGGTACTTTCCATTGCTGTATTGTATTCATTACACAATATACCACAACTTACATTATTAGTCCTTCCAAAGACTCAGCTTTGGGCTTTACAAGCCTTTTTTGTGTGTCTTCATTTTTCCAGTTGATTAATTTATGATCTTAACTTTTATTATTGCCTTTTTCCTACTTTCTTTGGGTTTCATTTGCTGTTCCTTTTTAAGCTCCTCCTCCTCCTCCCCCTCCCCCTCCTCCTCCTCCTCCTCCTCCTCCAGATTGAACTCAGGGGCATTAAACCACTGAACCACATCACCAGCCTTATTTAGTATTTTATTTAGAGACAAGTTCTCATTGAGTTGTTTAGTACCTTGCTTTTGCTGAGGCTGGCTTTGTAACTACAGTCTTCCTGCCTCAGCCTTCTGAGACGCAGGAATTACAGGTGTGCGCTACAGCACCCAGCCCTTTTTTAACTTCATAATAAAGATACTTAGCTCATTAAATTTACCCTTTCATTTCTAATATATTAATTTAAGATTAAAAATTTTTCTAGTAGTGCATAAGCTGCATGTGGCAAGTTTTGATATACTTAGTTAAATATATTTTATAATGTCCTTTGTGATTGCTGGCTTATGACCTATGGATTATTTAAAAATTTATTCCTTAACTTACAAATAAATAAGGGGTTTTTGATTTTTGTTTTTGTTTATTTGGGGGCTTAACTGTCTTGAGTTCAGAGAACATCCTCTCTCAATATACTGAAATTATGATTTTTCTCTATAATCCATTATATGGCTCATTTCTACAAATATTTCATGTGCTTAAAACAATACGCTTTCTGAAGTTTGATGGGTACAGTGTTTTGCTGTGACCTTTAGGTTGAATGAACACACACAAACACACATGCATTTAACATATTTATATACGTATATTTTAGCTTTTTCATCAATTATGGAGAAAAAGGTGGTGACTTAAAAATCTCCCACAGGGATTATCTACTTCTCATTTTAATTCTATACTTTTTTGTGTCATATATTTGAGCCCTTATTATTAAGTGCATTTAAATCAGAATTTTTATATCTTTCTGGAAAATTGAACTTTTATCATTATAAAGTGACCCTCTTTATTTCGAGTAAGGCTTTTTGCTTTAGAGTATTTTCCTTGATATTAACTTAGTGATGTGCATTCATTTTGATTGAAATTTACACGATATCATTATCCATCTTCTTATGTCTGCTCTTTTTTATTCTTTTGCTTTAATATTTTTGTTTAAACAGTATATAATTATATTTTAAAATCCAATTTGTCAATCTTTATGCTTTAACTAAAATAGTTCATTTGTAATTAATGATATGTTTAAGCTAAGTCTACCATGTTACTTTGTGTTTTCTATTGGTTTGGCCTATTGTATTTCTTTTTCTCCTCTTTCATCTTCTTGTCATCCTTCCCCTTATTTTGTCTTTCTCTGTTTTATCGTTAGTTGTTTCTTCAGACATATCTAAAATTAACTGAATTTTTTATGTTTAATCTACTATGGAACCAAGCAATTGAATTTTTAATTTTAGTTTCTATTGTTGTATTTTGCAGTCCTAGAATTTTTATTTAGCCTTTTTCCAAACTTGCCATGTCACTCTTTTTTTTTAAGTTGTCAATGAACCTTTAGTATTTATTTATTTATATGCAGTGCTGAGAATAGAACCCTGAAAGGAAAGTGACCACAACACTCGGAGCAACCAAAAGATCTTTATTGCAGCAGTACAACAAAGAGAAAGGAAAGAAGGAAAGAGAGAGAGAGAGAAAAGAGAAGAGATGAACAGGGAGAGAGCAAGAGCAAGAGAGAGACAGAGAGCGCGCGTAAGAAAGATAAAGAGCAAGAGAGAGAGAGCAAGAGAGAAAGAGCAAGAGAGGGGGGGGGCCTGGCAGGAGGGAGTTTTTATAGCCCAAATCTAATGGGGCCTCTGGGTCTGCAAGCTGCCTTGTTGGCCCAAGGGGGGGTTAAGTGTTCAGCCTTAAGCAGGGTTGAATGTTCAGACTTGAGGCAAACAGGTGATAAAGGACCAGATAGAGGGGGGTTTGAGTGCGTGGGCTATCTTGCAGCCAACATCTGTTCAGCCTGCCTTGCAGACAACACAGTTCAGCCTGCTCTGCACCCAACAAACCCCATGCCTCACACATGCCACTGAACTACAACCCCAGCCCAAACTTGAATTTTTTTAGATTTAGTAAGCATAATTGTTTTATAGCCTATGTCTAATAATCTAAATACACGAACTCTTAGTAGGTCTGTTGTGCTGACTGCTCTTTATTGTAGATTTTGCTCTATTGCCATATGCTGGTTGCCCTTGACATGGGCTGGGCATTATACTTGAAGATTTACTACTAAGATGATGGCATCTGACTTTAGGGAGGGTTTAACTGCCTTCCCTAGGGTACCTTGTGGGCATTGGCCATTTGTCTCTGACTTAAGCCAGCAATTGGTGATGGAAATGATAGTGCTGGTTAGCATAGGGATTTAACCCAAGTTCAAGGTTTGAGATTTTCTGGAATATGCAGATGAGGTACAGCTGAACAACGAGCCCAGGCAAGTGGGATTTACTTCCAGTTTGCCTTCCTTACCCTAAGGGTATAACTGACTATGTGGGCTCTTGGCTTAAAGTGGTACCCATCTTTGGTAGACTTCTGTCACCTAGCTTTCTGAGTCCAGCAGAGCTACAGTTCTATGTCACAGTTGTTGCTTCTGATCAGCGATGTGCTCTTAGAGTTCTCATCTTCTCCCAAGTGTATGCTTGATTTTTCTGTAGATTATTGGCTCTTTTTTTTTTAAATTGTTTTTAGTTGTCAATGGATTTTTTTTTAACTTTATTTGTTTATTTATTGTGGTACTGAGGATCGAACCCAGGGTCCTACACATGCCAGGCAAGCGCTCTACCACTGAGCCACAACCCCAGTCCTAGATTATTGGTTCTTTAATGCTTTAGAAATTTGTGAAAATATTCTGTCTGGCTTTTTAAAGTTGTAAGTATATAGAATAAAGTTATAGTTCTTCACAAAAGTGTAATTTGATTATTCTGTTTTCAAAGTTTGCACATAGCATATCCTTTGGGAGAAATGTGCCTTTCTGGATTTTAACTATTCTGTCTTTCAGTCAATGACTACAATATGCTTTGCCCTACTGCCTTGCAGGGAGATCGAATGTGGCACTTTGCCATGTCTGTGTTCCTGATAGAATTATATGGACATAATCTTCTTCTAACAGCAGTGTTTGGCTTAGTGGTGGCTGGATCTGTACTAATATTTGGGGTCTTAATTGGTGACTGGATTGACAGGAAGCCAAGAAATAAAGGTAATGCTTTTATTTATTTCACATATGATTATATTGTTCATCATGGATTTACTAGATTTTTTTGGTTTATTTAGTGAAACAAAATTATAGATCTGAGCTGACTAAGAGTGGAACATAACTTGAAAACTCTAAAAGAAAGCCTTATGTAACTTTGTGTCATATTCTTTGGTGCTACATTTAAAATACTTTAATGTGGTTTTTATTTATTTACTTTTTTGTGGGGCTGGCGATTAAACCCAGAGCCTATGCCCACTCAGCAAATCCTCTCCCATTAAGCCATATTCCCAGCCTTTTAATGGTTTTTAGAATCTTAGTAATTACACCTTTTTAATATTAAATTATTGAAAAACATGCTTGTTTTCTTTCTTTCTTTCTTTTTAATTTTTAATTTTTTTATTAGTTGCTCAAAACATTACAATGACTCTTTCTTTCTTTTTTCTTGTGGTGTTGGGGATTGAACCCAGGGCCTTGTTCATACAAGGCAAGGACTCTACCAACTGAGCTATATCCCCAGATATAGCTTTTTAATATTCTGGTATTACCTATGCATAATAAAACTTGTGCTATTTTTGGTAAAAGCAATTTCTATGTGTGAAAAATATCTTTTATATGAGGTAATCCATCTAAGCGAGGAATCAACGTGGATACTTATTTCTTCAAACATAGATGTTCTTTTTAACTTTAAACTTTTGCCTATAATACCTTCTTAGGCCTCTTTGCCCAATAAAAATGTTGGGTCTCCCAAGTTGTCCTGTTCTTTTGATGACTAGTCAACATGATTATTTTCATTATCTCTTGGAGAACTGGAAATGAGTTTGCAAAAACTACACTAATGTGTTTAAGCCTGATTTACTTAAAATCTGTAGTGTTGCTCCTTAGACCCATTGGATAGCTTCAACCATAAGTGAAATCCAAGAGAGTCAAATGAAGCAATAGAAAAAATCAAGCTTCTTAATTTATCTGGAATCTGGCTTTTCATATCACCTTTCTCTCAAAGTATGTTTCATTCACTTGCAAAGCCCGGCTTTTTGTCTTTTGGTCACAAAGGCTTTGATTGTCCTGAGCACTGAGCCTGCTCTTTGCTTCCTACCCAAGCCTGCAATTGCTGATGGAAATTACAAGCCTGGTTGGCCCAGGGATTTGGTCAGATGTAATTGCTCTGCATTACATGGTGACATAGCTGTGACTTGCGTCCTAATGCCAAAAGTAAACCTTGGGCCCCCGGGCATTTCCCTTCACAGTTGCTCATGCCTCACTCTTCATTCAGAATGCCTCTGTCACCGCCTGCTGTGTGCTCCTCATGCTCCTGTTCTCCTACCGAAGGGAGATGGAACAAATCTGGCACGGCTGGTTCACTGTGAGTGTCTCTCCCTCCTAAGCCATAAGAGCGAATGTCATAGTCATAGACAAGGATGTCCATTAGGGAGTCGTCTCTGCACATCCCTGCTTACTGGTTTGAGATCTAGACCATCTTTCCATCAGTGCTCTCCTTGCCCCTAATTTGTGAATCAAGCCCAAATCTCACAGACAGGAAGCAATATAACAGCAGAGTCTGTCTGCAAGGTACAAATTAGCATCTGATCTGTAATGGGCTGAGAAAATGCTTAGCGTTAGCACACATTTGGCTTCCAACTTGCATTGAGCCTCTTTCTCCCACAGGTCTCTTTGCTCGTTTAGATGATCCTCAAGCTGCCAGATAAATAACTTCTGTGTATGGCTGTGGGTTGGAAAAGTATTCTTGAGCTCTGAAGTCCCCTTCCTCCCACAGGTGGCCTGCTACACAGTGCTGATCACCCTGGCAGCTGTGGCGAACCTGGCTGGCACAGCACTGACCATCACCATTCAGAGGGACTGGATTGTGAGCCTCACAGGTGGCAACGGAAGCCAGCTGGCTGGTGAGCAATCCCATCCTACGTCTTACCAGTCTTCCGATTTTCTGAAAAATGGAATTGGAGAGCTATTTGGGGTTCTGAGAGAGGCAGAATGATAGCCTGTAAGAGAATGGTATTTGGAGCCCACAGAGGTGGGTTCAAATTCAGCTAAAACCAGGTATGCCTCTTCCCAGCTAGCTGCCTCCCCTGGAGCAAGTTTCTGTACTTCTCTAGTCTTGACTTTCCTCATCTGTAGGATGTGGGACACACACACACACACACACACGCACACACACACACACACACACACATACACGGAGCATTCTGGAGGACACAGGGTTTGAAAAGCACTTAACCCTGTATCTGCATGTAGGAAGCCCCTAAGAAATGGTTGATATCGTTATTGTTGAAAGAAACAGACTGTGCCTTCAGGAAAGAAGTCTTCCATTTGCAAGTTCATCACCAAGTTCCTTGACAATTTTAGACCTGGAAAATAAATGAATGAAAAGATTTCTTAATTCCATGTAGTGATAAGCGGACAACAAGACAAACAGTATCTGCCAGTGTGATTGTTGGTCAGCATTGATATTCCAGTGAAGGAATTCAAAAGGATAATTGGATGCCTTCTTTGTTTTTTCCCCATTTACAAAAATTGGGTCCCTCACATTGTGATATATTCTAATTGCCGACTTCAAGCTAAAGACCTCAGTCTACCCTGTATTTGTGCAGTTGAAACTCCCTGCTAGGAAATGTGTACGAGTGCTGATGGCCAAGATAAAGAAAGCTATTAAGGAGGAGTCGATTCAAATGTATGCCTCATGCAGAGTAGAAGCCCCTTATAATCATGTTTTCCTTTAAACTGCACTTCTTTGGATGTACTGTGGCTTAAATAACAATACCCAAAATAAAACAGCCAGGCAAGTGGAACTGGGTGACATCGTGTTGAGGTGTCCTCCATCTCTGGGTAAAGAAAATCTCCATGTTCTCTGTTAATTAATTTTAAGGAAATCTAAGAAAAGCATGGATTCTGGTTCAAGTTCATTACAATTATTAAAATGAACTCTTCAGTGATAGCAGAAGAGGGAAGAGAATAAGCTTTGCAGTCGGACTGCCTGGGTTTGAGTCTCAGCTCCATCATTTTCCTCCTGTGTCCTTGAGCAAATATATTCACCTCTGTGTGTCTCAGTTTCCTAATTTGCAAAAGAGAAATACTGTTACCTCCTAGAGTTGTGATGAGGGTGGAATGAGATGAATACAGGTAGAAGGTGTGGAACTATTTTTGTGGCACAGAGTAAATATTCAACTCATTCCTCCTTCTGTCCTCCTTCGATTACCACTCTTCCCTGTTACCACGTTAGCTGTGACAGTGGCTATTAATATTATTGTTGTTAAGATAGTGGGGTATGATGGGAAAGTGTGCTGAGATGGGGGGTAGAATAACTAGCTCCAAGTAACCTAGTCTCTCTAGTCCTGATTTTATTAATTGTTAACTGCTCAAGTTCCAATAGAACTGATCTTAACATTTTTTTTTTCAGGTTGATAATCGTATTGCTATAGTTCAGCCAAAGGGATCTTTTCCTGCTGTTAATATCATCCACCCAGGGTGTGGCTGGCAACTCCAGCAAGTGCGTGTGGTCAATTGACTGGAAAGAAGGAGTCATCCACTGACCTGCCATATTTCCTTCCTCTCACAGGGATGAATGCAGCAGTCCGGCGGCTGGACCAGATCATCAATATATTTGCTCCCCTGTCTGTGGGCCAGGTGATGACATGGGCATCTCATGTGATCGGTTGTGGTTTCATTCTTGGATGGAACTTGGTTTCACTTCTTGTAGAGTTTCTATTTCTGTCTAGGGTTTATCAACTAGTTCCCCAATTGGCTGTAAAACCCCAGCAACAACCAGGGAAGCCCTTCCTAGAAAAGCAACAGGAGGCTGTGAATGTTCAAGGTAATGCAAACTCAGAGAGAGCTCTTGTTCTTTTTTCCCCTCTCTTGGTGTTTCACTTCTTCTTTTCAGAACTTAATGTCTGATCCTAATCTTGACATTTTCTTGGCAAATGTGCCAAACAGTGACAAATGAGCAGTCTCCAGCTGTGCCATTGGTTGTATAGTTCACTTGGCTGATCTTATTGGTTGGGACAGGCAGGGCTGCTTTATACAGTTATACAAGTTGTGTACTGCATAACACCAGGGTTCCATTCAGAGAGACTCCATTGTAAGTAGCACCCCCATGGGACTGTACAGTGTAAAAACTGTACAGCCTATCCCAAGGTCCCAGAGGGCAAATTACTCCTTCTCATCTCACTCATGCACATCTTCCCCAGGGATGTTAAATTGAAAAAGGCAAATGTGTCAAAAGCTATGGGTTAATCTTTGGTAAGGATAATATGATAAACTGTCAATCCTGCTCCCATAGTTTTTTTTTTTTTTTTTTAATTAGAAATTCCCCAACAGTATGATGAGAATGAAAGGAAGGAAAACCTACCAGTAGATATGACCTCATTCTCCCAAAGTGAGAGCCATCCCTGCCTGTTGACAAGGTTGTCCATCTGCCTGGTACAAGGCAGTTTAGTAATGGCTTCTGACCGCAGTTCTTCTTTCTTAATTATCATTAATTAATTATCGTTAATTCTCTTTTCTCTCAAGTTGTTTTGTACCTAAATCTCACCAATCCCATTACATGAGTAAAATGTATATATTTGAAGAGATAGATGGATGTACATACTTAAATGATGAATGGATGGGTATGTGAGTAGCTAGACAGGTAGATACAAATCGATAGAACTACATCCTTTTCATCTCCCGTGTATTACCTGTGTGACTTTGCAAGTTTAATTTATTCATATTCTTTGTCTTGTTATCTATAAAGCAAGGACAATAATAAAACTTATTTGATAGGATGTTGTACAATTAAATAGATGCAAAGCATCATTAAACTCACTGGCATATAGGAGAACTTCAGTCAATTTAGCTATGTTTTCATTGTTCTTGTTATTTTGTCATCTTTAAAAATAAAACTGCCTTGGCAAAAAATTCCATTCTGTGAGGAAAAGACTCACTTTCCCTTGAGTCTTGATCTGGAATAGACTTGGCTCACCTGCCCCTTCTCCCCTCAGAGCCCTACTGGGCCCCTCCAGCCCTATGCAGGACTGGTCAGTCTCTCACCAATAGTTTAATCTGCTTATATCATTGTCTGATATATCCTGGAAGACCAAAAGGTATTATATATATATATATATATATATATATATATTTTTTTTTTTTTTTTTTTTTTTTTTTTCCCATCATAAGTACCTGTTTCTTCAGAAAAGTAATCAAAGGAGGTACCTATCACTTTTTCTGGAGCTCATTACCAAGTTTCAAGCAAGTGAAATTTGCTCTCCCACCCTCCCCTATACCCACTGTCCCCATCAATGCCTGCCTTCCTAATGGGATAGTGTGTCTTGTGGGTTTCTTTCAAGTGCCTCTTGAGACAGATTTGGAGTAGAGAGTCATCTCTTTGGAATGTGACCTCCGGAAGGATGCTGAGGGGTGGGAAGTAAGACAGGAAGGGGAAAGGAGGCTCCCAGAGATTACTACTGAGAGATTTGGGCTCAGTCCAACTGGGGAACAAGGAATGTTCCTTCAAATTGTCCCAGCAAAGGCAAGGAAGCTGGGGTATCCCTCACTGGCTGAGAGCTGTCCCCAGAGCACTTACAGCCTATCCCTCCTGTTCCAGTGGCTGGAGAGAGGTCTTCAGGCAGAGACACAGGTGGTTGGGGACAGGAAGCCACCAGTGTGCACAGGAAGTATCCAATAAAAAGCAGAGGTTGGGATGGGCTGAGGGGACACAGGTACTGACTTTAAGTTATATGGATTTTATTTTAGGTGAAATAGACTCTTGGGAAACCACTGATGGATTTATCAACAAGCCTGGAACTTCAAAAGAACCAAAAGACTGCAGGTCTCACCTTGAAGGACAATGGGTCACAACTAAAAGATTTCTTCTTTGCCTTCGAAACACTCAGAGGCTGCTGCACACGTGCAGGGAGGGCTGGGAAACCTACTGCCGGCAGACCATCTTCCTGCCTGGCCTGGGCCTGGCCTTCCTCTACATGACCGTGCTGGGGTTTGACTGCATCACCACAGGCTATGCCTACACCCAAGGCATCGGAGGGTTCCTGCTCAGCATCCTCACGGCCCTTTCGGCTTTATCTGGCCTGATGGGCACAATTCTCTTCACCTGGCTCCGGGGGCATTATGGCTTGGTCACCACAGGAGTCATATCCAGCTGGCTCCACGTAGGTTGTCTAACGCTCTGCGTGTTTTCTGTCTTCGCTCCTGGAAGTCCCTTTGATACGGCTGTTTCCTCACTTCCATTGAGCAAGAACTCTTCTTCAAGTCCCAAGTTACTAAAAGATGACCAAGTGCACATTTACCCTTTTGAAAGAAACCTGAACCAACCCATCCTCCCGGACCGTTCTTCCATTCATTGGACCAACAGCACTGTTCTGTTCGACGGGCAGCAGGACCTTGAGCAGCCAGAGTCTTACGTCTCCATTATCTTGCTCTTCTCTGGTGTGATCCTGGCCAGAATTGGTGAGTAGTGGGTCATGCATGGTGTGGGTTTCTGCAGGCTGGGATGTTGCCAGATAATCTTAGAAGTGTGCGATTGTCCCATCTCTATGCTTCTGTAAGTCTTCATCATCCATTCATTAAGAATGAGTTCTAGTGATAAGAACTGGACCAGAATGCGGAGGCGGAGGGGGGGAAACCAAGAATGATTTAATCAGACAGTGCTTTAGTCATGGTGCTTACAGCCTGGGTGAGGGAACAGTAAGCAGCCAAGGATAGGCAATGAGATAGAGGTAGGGAAGGACAGACAGATTGAGAGCAATAGGAGGAACACCAAAACTGGTCTTGAGAGCTGGGGAAGCCATCCTACAGGGAGGCACAACTGAAGATCTCAGATGAGCAAGCAAGACATGTCCAGAGAGGGATGCCTGCTCCAGGTTGGGGCATGGTGGTGCTGAGACAAGGCTGAAAGTTGAAAACTTGGAGATAGAGATTTGGAGAAGCGAAAATATTATAATTATTTCCTGGGTGTCAAACATGTAAATGCCATAGATAGTGTCCGCATGATTGTAGTGTTTGGACCTGGATCCTTTCTTTGCGGAGGGGATGAGGAAAGAGGAAAGATGGCAATTTCTTGGGACAAAGGCATTCCTTAGCTGTCTGGGGAGGGCAGTATAATCCTTTCCCAAAGATGGGGTGTCTGAGTTTGAGTGCCTACAGGTTTGTCTGCCACAAGTACTTCATCTCTGAGCTCTGTCACTACCATATCTCTACCATATGTGATTTCTACCATATGCCATTCTTATCTAGTAGTGAAAACATGGCTAGAGTGTTTATTAAAACATTTTTAAAAAAATTGTCATTTGATGCCTGACAACCCCAAAAATGACCTGCTGGGGATCAGTTGTGATGGCAGCAGAAACTTCTTAACAGCACACTGGCTCTTGTGATCAGTCAGACCTGCAGATTCTCATCTGGGAAGAATCTGGGAACTTGTTCTTCATCTCAAAATTCCCATGATTGGTTTTCTACCTGGAAAGCACCACTTCTTGCTCAAGCCCAATTTGCTCCAAATTCAAATGTATGCCTTTGAGGCCCCACCCTGGCTGCACAGCTCAGAGCCAGGGGAAAGTGTGATGGCAAGTGATGGATGGTATGGATCAAAAACCAAGCATGTCTTCCCCATTCATCCAACCACCCTTCCCACACTACATTCACCACTGCAGCCACTGTGCCAAAGCAAGGTCTTTGCCCTCTTGGGCCTCAGAGCATCATCTGCTCACCTCTGAGGGGTAGGAACATGTAATTGAGAGGATGTACCATGGATACCTAGAATCTCTTGAGTTTTTGTTTTGTACTGGGAATTGAACCCAGGGGTGGCTGACCACTGAGCAACATACCCAGTCCTTTTTATTTTTTCTTTTGAGACAGGATCTCACTAAGTTGTTTAGGGCCTTACTAAATTGTTGAAGCTGACCTTGAACTTGGCAATCCTCCTGCCTCAGCCCCCCGAATTTCTGGGATACTTGCGTGTACTATCATATTCAGCACTTGTTGCTTTATAAAAGTGTGGACGAGAGGAAATGAGGATTCCGAAGGCCCAATTCAAGAGGCTATAAGATCATAGGCTAGTCTCGGAATCTCATTTCTGATGTAATGTATTTACAGGAGAAAGACATATTCCTAGTTCCAAATAACTGATTTAGAAGCCCATTCTTTCATGTAGAGATTGCCTGAGCTCTAAAATATTTAAACGAAGTACCTGATGAGTGGATTGTCTTTCATTAGTGTGTTTGATTTGCACATCTACCCTTTCATTGCACAAATAACTGAGAGTAGATTGGCCCCTTAAGCTTTGTGTCATTCATATTATATTATGATTGTTTACTTCAAAAGGATCCTGTCTACCAGGATCACTGGGCTTTCCTGATACAAAGGAAATGATCACATTTGGAAAACATGAAACTGCTTCAGAGGAGCCTGCCATCTGGACACACGTCCTGTGTGAGAGAACCTTGGCCTTTTTCCTATGCCAATAGCAAGTCTATTTGTTGTACCCCAGATGAGGATTGCAGAGACACAGAACCCTCTTGGCACTCATGAGCAATACAGCTCAGGACCTGGAGCCAGGCTGCCTGATGATGTTGGCAAGACACCTAAGTTCCCAATGTCACTGTTTCCTGATCTCAAGATGGGATGATAATAATAATATTTCCCCATGAGAAAGGTTCTGAGCAAGTGCTGAAGAATCCCTGTAGGCAATGTGGTTAGCACAAAGTTTTCACAACTGTGGGAGCTACCTGCTGGAAATGAACATTAATTGTCATCTTGGATCGTCATCATCATCGTATTTTAGCTATAATTTTGGTGCCTTTCTGAATGTTGCTGTGTGAGGCTGAGGTGTGGGTGGGCAGCGAGACACAGGCAATTGCAGTGCTAGGTGATGTGGATGCTTCTCAACTCCTGCACATGCAATGTCAGCAAGGACCCTTTACATTCATTCCTATTGGGGTCACACTTAACCTTGGGGTTGATGGTGTGGTATCAAAACTTCAGACATTAAGAGCACCAGTGCCCCAAAGGATATATTGTGCCTTTGTTAATGCAGTTGGGCCTGGGGCTATGATGACTGGTCCTCTCACTGGGAGCAGTGGCCTGTGGCCTGACACAATAAGTATCCAACATGTATCACCAAGCTTAGGGCTCATCTTAGGTGTGTGTTCAGTAGATACTTGTTTCTACTCTGATGGAAACTAACTTGCAGAACTATGCCTACAATAAGATTTGGCACATTGCTTAAAAGTCACTTTGCTTTTTAAAATCTAAGAACTGTAACTCTTTATGCCCTCAATTTAGAAATAATTCTCAGTGCATAATTAGCCCTCGCTTCCTTGAGCACTTCTCATAGTACCACTGCAGCATTTTACAGATACTTTCTAACTTTGTAAGTGCTGCTGGCAAAGGACCAGCAGGTGTGGAGATATTACAGGTAAGCTCTGGGTCAGAGTCCCCTGCAGGATGGGGTTCTTGGCAGGAAAGCCTGAAGAGAAACTGAGGCATTTGGGGTGGTAAGAACACCCCAAGAGGATGGGGGACTGGTCAGGGCCTGTGGGTGGTGGCCACAGCAGGGTGGCTAGGGCAGCCCAGGAAGACAGAGGTCCAGACAGTGCTCTGCAAAGGCAGGCACCGGAGGACATAGTACATTACCTCCAAATAATTATTGAGTTCAGAGCTAAGTCCATGGATTGGGACAGTGGCACCAGGAGGCCTCTGCAGAGCCAATGCTGAGAACCCAGAAGGCTAGTTGGCTGGAAAACCAACTGAACAGGAAGAAGTTGGGTTCAGGGCCCACTGGGACAGGCACTAGAACCCCTAGGGGAGATATTGCCACTGAAGGACAGCACTGTCCTCAGCACTGCTGGCTTCTGCCCTTGCTGATGGTTACACAGCAGATCCTGGAGCTGCTTCTGAAACAAATTCAAATGTGTCCTCTTTAGGTGTTTGAGAGTGGTGGGCAGGGTGAAGAGTGGAGCCCAATTCTTTCTCAGCTAAGCCAGGTGTGAAGAGGGAAAATCTGGAATTGGAAGTAGATTTGAAGCTCAAGATTTTGCTCTCTGCCTTAAACATGTTTTTGCAATGAGGAGGGGACACAAATAAATACATCCAAAATGAAGTTATTGTGCATCTGATGACAATGGTAGTGATGGTGATTCAAAAAGATAATTATAACACCATAACTTATGACAGTAACTGCCATGCACAGGTGGTCAGGCACAGCACTACATTTTATTGTACAAGTTCATGGAATTCTCCAATGAGCCATTAGTGCCTTTAATATTCCCATTTCACAGATAAGGAAACTGAGCAGCAGGAAGTTGCATTTATCCAAGGCAACAGTACTCATCAATTCCAGAACCAGAATCTCACAGAGGTCCTCTGACATCTGTTCATGTTTATTCTCTCCCTACATTGCTGTCCTGCAGGGCTCTGGTCCTTTGACCTCACTGTGACCCAGCTTCTCCAGGAGAACATTCCGGAAGCAGAGCGAGGGGCCGTCAACGGTGTGCAGTGCTCCCTGAACTATCTTATGGACCTCATCCACTTCATCCTCGTCATGCTGGCCCCGCAGCCACAGCAGTTTGGCATGCTAGTCTTCATTTCCATGCTGTTTGTAACCACAGGCCATGTGCTGTATTTTTTTTATGCAAGAAAGTGTAAGATTGAAAATTCCCAGGTGAATGAGACAATAAAGAAGGGCACTTGGACACCTTTAAGCTGAGAGGTAGGCAGTACTTCCCAGAGCAACTCTGGCCCCATCTCCACTGAGTGTGTCCACTGACTTCCCTCATGGCTACCGTATCTGCCAGTGCCAATGCTACACTCCAGAGCAACAGTGACATCACCTCTTGCCAACAGCACCATCTGCTTACGTGTGTCTTGGCCCTAGTGGTACCATCAGCGCAGGAAAGGGGGATGACTCCAAGTCAGAGTGCCCCCCCCAGACAACTTGAAGAGGCTTGTTTTAATTTTGCCAGTATAGTAACTCAGTGTTTTATTGTTCTTCGGGATTTAAAATGAGTCAGAATCTTCTGGTTAGTGTTAAAATTAGAGAGGTGGAGAGTGGTCAGTAATGTCTGGTTCAATTCTTCAGTGTGAGTTTACATTTTTTGTTCTTCTGCTAGTTGGTGACTGTTCTTTGGTTGAGCTGAATACTCCTAGTGAGGACTGAAGCTATTGATTGGAGAAACAGATCATGAGAATAACCTGGGTGTGGCTTATGGACTCTGCAGCCAAACCACAGATACGGTGGTCCTTTGGCGAGTGTGGACAAGCTTCGCCTCATGAACACTCTAAGAACATACTTGTTTGTGATGAGCAAATGGGGAGTTGCTGGTCACTTATGAACAATTAACACTAAAACTAGTTTTATATGTTGACTTAAGACTAATAATCAATTATTATTTTATAAGTGCTGTGATGTGTAAGTTTCACCTGGAAATGAAAAACAATGGTACTAGCAATAAAATCCCCTTAAGACCCATGGTCTAGAGAAGCTTTCTATGTCACATTTGGGAAACAGCCAATAGCATACTCAGGAACACCTTAACAGGTAGGTCTTGAAGAAATGACATTCTTTTCTTTTCTTTCTTTCTTAGGTATAGATGGACATAATACCTTTGTTTTATTTATTTATTTTTATGTGGTGCTGAGGATGGGACTCAGTGCCTCACTTATGATAGGCAAGTTCTCTACCACTGAGCTTCAACCCCAGCCCCAGAAATGACATTTTCTAAGACAGTGATTCCCAATTTTGTACTACGGACACTCTGGGTCAACATTCTTTGTTGCAGGGGCAGTCCTTTGCATTGTAGTATATTTTGTAGCATCTCTGGTCTCTACCTACTAGAAGCTGGCGGCATAGCCCCATCAACCTAGTTGTGACAATCAAGAGTCTCCAGACACTAACAAATGTCCCCTAATTAAGAACCATTATTTAAGAGAAATGTGAAAACTACAGGAGGAATTCACTTATTATTAAAAATAAAATGACAGAGGCTGGGAGAGCAGTGGTAGAGCACTCGCCTAGCATGCGTGAGGGCCTGGGTTTGATCCTCAGCACTTCACAGAAAGAAACAAAATGACAAAAAGTCATTATTAGTAGCAAGAAAATGACACACTGGGATTTTACATGGATCTGCTTTTTTAGAGCAAACAGTTAAGTGAAAACAAGGGAAGGAGAGAATTCTGTGGAACATTTTGCCTAACATAAGGTAGTTTCAAAAAAGAGTACTTTATACAAGTTCTAGTGATATTTGTGATGCCACCTCCTCCAATCTCTCCCCTTCCATTACTACATTACTACTACTACTCTACTACACACACACACACACACACACACACCAGAAGAATTGGTCAGGAGACCAAACCTTTCTTCATCTGGATTCTTTACTAGGAAGTCATATTTGACTAGATGTAGCCTACCAAACCCTCCAGCCCTTGATTACTCCAATGAACACACAAATATTTGTGCAGGGCAGGTGGAGAACAGAAGGAGCATTTAATAAATACATTCTGAAGTCTTTTTCCTTTAAAATCTCTAGCGCGAGACTAGACTCTATGTGGAGTCTTCTGAGTAGCATGAGCTCCCTACCTCTGCAACTTCTGTCCTTAGGAGGGAAAATAGCTGCTTCCTGGTAAATTCTTCACTGTGAGTGCTAATTTTACTCTTCCTTTTCCTCAAGGTTCTGTATAGTATAGCAACATCTTCCTATTACATTGTAGGTTGCTATTTGCATGTTTCCATGATGATTTTGATTCATGTTTTACACCCATCCTGTCCAATAGAAATATAATGCAAATCATATTAATATCACTTGAAGTGTATTTAATTCAACCCAGTCAATTATTGTGGAACTTAAAATCATTATAAAATTGAAAATTTTATATATTCTTTTTTAAAAGTTTTTTTTTTTTTTGAGTCATGGATGGACCTTTATTTTATTTAGATGTGGTGCTGAGAATCAAACCCAGTGCCTCACAACTGCTAGGCAAGTGCTCTACCACTGAGCCACAACCCCAGCCCAAATTTTTATATATTCTTTACATCTGAACTTTTCACACCTACAGCACATCAGTTTGGACTAGTCACATGTGACTGGTGGCTGCTGTATTGGAGAGCAGTTGTAGACAATTATTCCCTAAGTCCCACATATTTCTTCACTAGGAGAGGCCTGTGACACATAGGTTATACCTACCTGAGAGTATGGTAACAAGTCAGGAAACTTGTCCAATGTTAATGGTATTAGGTTTCATTCATCAGCTATAATATCCTGCTACTCCCCAAAACAAATCAAGGTGACATGCATCAAACTAATTTGACAGTTTACCTCTTATCTCTGAAACTGACTGGTATGGAGGTTCATGTGGCAATAGTGGAGGGTTCAAGATAATTGGCCCCTTGTAGTATAGATAAACTCCACTAGAGGGCCTTCTAGTCACAGTTGCCTAATTCCATATTGTGATAAACTACAATTTTATAATAAAATATTGGAAGTAGAAATTTTAAGTTTATAAATACAAAGTAAATTTTGGAAAGGCAATCTTTATTATGAGTACAAAATAAATATAAGACTTTCGAACACACGTCTGGCTATTTATCCATGCATACAACCTGGAAGTAGCTTCTCATTTTACCTCTGATTTTGGCTGGCCAATCAGCTGAGCAGGCCCAGACTTCGGAGTGGGCAGCTAACAACTCACCTTCCTGCTCTAGAGCCAAATGCATCAGTCTCCACTTTTTCTAGATCCTCCTTTTATCCAGATGCCTTTCTGTTCTACTTTCTTCAAAGTACTTGAGATCAGGAGGGAAAAAGAGCCTGTTCTCATTTGGGTTCAGGATTCCTCAAATGTGAAGGACTGCTCCCCTCCTCCATTTTGAAGTGATATTCAATGGCTAATTTGTCAGTTGTCTCTTTTCTCTGCCCTTAGGAAGCTCAAGAGCCAAACTGGCTGGAGCAGAAAACATAAAGGCCAATGGCTTACTTTTGTACTCCTGCTCTCTTCTTACTGGGCTTTTATTCTCTCTTATGGATTACTGTATTATTTAAGATGCTTTTAAATGACCCTGAATCATTTTGGGAAATGTGGTATTGGGGGGTATAATAAGATATAATAGTTTCTTCACTATTTGTACTAACAATTGACTCTTTCAGATATTGTATTGACCCAGCTACAAGGTGAAATTACCTCTTTTAACAGAAGTCAATGGAAGCACATGCCAACCAGCTCCATGTCACATTGTGCAATGGATATCACTGCGCAAACTCCATAAAGGAGGGAGTCATTACTACCACAGGACTTAATATATTTGCCAAGAATATAATTATTTAAGGCCTGAAGACCCTCAAAAATACACGTATTTTAGTCTGGAATATTCACTTGAACTACAAGACTTGCTTACCTTTAAGAAACAGAATCTACTTGGACTCAAGTGCTTAGGAACATGGGGTATGTCTTTTCTTGAAATCAAAGTAATGCATCTCAACCTACCTGAATGACACATCAATGGTGTTAACTGGCATACTGGGTGAGTTGTGTCACTATCTGGAAAAGTTAGTGACTGGAGTTCTGAAAGATTTTATATTTTCAGTGAAATCATAACCTTTAGCATAAAAATTGTATTCCAATTCCAGTTTTATCATAATTAAAGATAATCATCAAGCCCAAGTCTCTCATTTGAAATGAATAAATCTTGTGAAAACATTTCATTCAACTTCAGACTTGCTTCTTCTGTTAGGGCCCTGGAGCTCGAAGGACAGTCTGGTGGTTTAGTAGTCATGTTGGCATTTGTATATTGCTGCCTTAGCTGTTTTAACATACAGGGCACACGCTGTGCCAAGGAGGGAAAGTTGATCCTACAGAACTGATGCATGACTGCAGCTCCTTAGCCCATCTCACTGATGGTGAGAGGAGGGCAAAGGACAGGCAGCTGATAATCAAAGAGAAGGAAATGGGTAGGTAGCACTCCCCATCACCTGGTTGCTAACAACCTCCAGGGGAGGGGAAAGATCACATTTTCCAACCCAAGAAGTCACCCCCTAGATGGCTCTCTTCCTGCCCTTTTGGTCAAATAGGCAAGATAAGAGGAGGAGGGGACACAAGAAAGGAAATCTAAAATCTATAAAAAGGCCAACACACCCCACTCCCTCAGGAGTCTCTGTTCTGTCCTTTAAATAAAACCTATTGCCTTGGCATTTCTCAAGTGTTCAATCTATAACACTGGGGAAACGAGCCCCATTCTACTTTTTAAGACTGGTTTCAATTCTAACTCTTTAACCATGTCCAGGTATAGGGACATGGATTTGGTGGAGGTGGGGATACAGCAAGAATGCATCAAACCTGGAACCCCAATGGGTTCTGGAAGACATACAAGATGACAAAACTAAGCTCTATACCCTTGGTCACCAGGGAAGGGCTCAACAGGCTCAGGGGTAGAAGTTTGACCTATAGGGAAGAACAATGACTCAACTAATGTTTGAACTCATCTTTCTTTTTAGAACCCATTTTTCTTTTTAGGGGAAAAGAAGATTGACTTTTTTCCAAACTGCATTTTTTTTCTTTTTGGTAGTACTGGAAATGAACCCTGGGGCACTCCACCCCTGAGTTACACTCCCCAGCCCTTTATGTTTTGAAACAGAGTCTCAATAAATTGCCCAGGCTAGCTTTGAACTTGTGATCCTCCTGCTTCAGACCCTCCCCCCACCCCATGGGTTGCTGGGATTACAGGTATGTGCTACACCTGGCTTCAACCAGCCTTTCAGAGGAGCACACCAAGCAGTTCACATACCTTCACATTACAAAAAATTTCCTTGGAGTGAAAACCCGGTCAATATAGGAATCAGGATTCAAGGAACCCAAAGTAGAATTAACAGCATTGGGGCACATAGTAAGAATCTTTACCCCATTTTCCGCTACCTTATTGTGACTATATGGATTTTCAAATTGGTGAAAGTGCCATGGCATAGCTGAGATTCAAAGTGCAGCTGTTGAGCAGGTAGAGTAGTATATGCTGCTACCTCAATCATCCATAAATGTAAAGTTCATATCTTGGATGGGTGTGTCAATATCCTACTTTTCTCTGATATTTATCATGTGCATGAGTCACTTATACCCTAAAAATGATCTTCATGCATTTCTGTTGCTCTTAATGTCTCAATAAAATCATGTTAAATGGTGATCCCAAACCACTCTCCCATAGATTGCTTTGGAAATGTTATTAAGATACCGGAAAGGATGTTTTTAAAGTCATGCTTATTTTAGTACGAATTTATATTCTGTAAAATTCATCCTGTTAAGTGTGATATTTGACAAACACATAATCATGCAATCACCAAGATGATCAAGATGTAGAACAAGATGTAAAAATCACTTCGAAAATCCCCTCCTAGCCCTTTGCAATCAACCCCTTCCTGTTCTTGGAATCAATTGATCCGTTTTCTGTCAAGAGGGTCAGATCTGATCACCAAAATGATCGACTATGAAAAAAGATGGAAGCATACAAAACACACAAAGCCAAGTTTTTGAAAGTATTTTAAACTTTTCTTTAGTCAACCAACAATGAGGACAGTTTCAAATTTTGCTATGATGTACAGATATTTTGCTCAGGTAAGAGGTAAATCTTAGAATTTAATTCTAGTCCTACCATATTTACGCCTCTACTAATTGAGTATACCATAAAAGCACATGATTGTCTGGAATAGTAAGAATAATTTTATAATGACTTTTGTAAATTAAAGCAGTCAACAATTTCTTAAGATACTTTTTAAAATAGCTATTTAATTTAGAATTATTCTAACTGATCTTTTTTTCTTTTTGGTACCATGAGTTGAATCCAGGGGTACTTAACCACTGAGCCACAACCCCAGCCCTTTTAAAATATTTATTTAGAGACAGGGCTTCACTAAGTTGCTGAGGCTGGCTTTGAACTTGTGATTCTCCTGCCTCAGCTTCCTGAGCTACTGGGATTACAGGTGTGTACCACCCCTCCTGGCTCTGATCTTAATGAACCAGCCTTGGTCATCTTTGTAGAGTCTATGAACCAACAATAAAGACAATCTTTAATGTTAATTCTGTGTCAAGTTTCAAACTAGCCTTGCTAACAGAAAATATAAATGTGGAACTAAATTCTACAGAAATGACTCTAAGAGTCCAATTCAGCTACAGGGCAGAGGTACAATTCCCAGATATGCTCATATATGTAATTAGGACTGTCTCAAAATTCACCTCTGTGACCACCAAGAAAGGGACAAAGACATCAAAACCTCTATTCCATACAGCCATATACCTTATTACTTGAACAGCTTTACTGATTCTTTCATGCATCAGACCTGTAAAAGAAATACAGTAGATTATTAGGTCAGCAATTACTAATCAATAAAATAATATAGTAGTATCTAAACTATGTTCTTTTGTATGTGTGGTGTTTGGGATCGAACCCATGGCCTTGCAAAGCAAGCACTCTACCAACTGAGCTAAATCCCCAGAGCCCTTAGACTATGTTTACAAAAACTGCAGAAATAAGAAACAGAATCCCCAATGTACCCATTGTTGACACAAACATTTTAGTGTACACACATGCAAAAACAAAACAAAACAAAACAAAAAACCCACAAAATTTTTAACTCAAAAAATTTTAACTCTCTTGGCTTGATGAAGCATTAATCCATTTACTAGAGGCTTTCGCCCTCTTCTGTGTAAAGCAGAATTTTAAAAGGAATGGTGTGACTGCATTTACTGAATTCCTGTATACCAAGTTGGCCTCAGGTAAATCCTTTAACCCATCAGAGCAGAAGCATATCCAATCAGGTTAGAGTTCTCATCCTTGGCCAAGAATTCTATCCCACTATGAACTCAAGCCAAATTATTTCCATTTGGTCCATACCTTATGTTCCTCAGGATCTTGAGCACCACTGAGCCTGGCAAAAAAAGTGACAACAAGGTTAATGTTAATATCAACTGGGTGCAATGGCGCATACCTGTAATCCCAGTGATTTGGGAGGCTGAGGCAGGAGGATGAGAGTTCAAAGCCAGCCTCAGCAAAAGTGAGAATCACTAAGCAAGTCAGTGAGACCCTGTCTCTAAATACAAAATAGGGTTGGGGATGTGCCCCTGAGTTCAATCCCAGGTGCAATAATAATAATAATCCAGATACAGCTTTGTTGTTTAAAGAGTGTCCTGTATTATGGCTATCTACTAGCTGCCTTTGATAAATAGATAAAATACAAAGCTATGGTCTCCAAATTCCTGACAATTCCAAAGATTTTAAGTTCCTTATACTCTGGGAATCAATTTTACTTTAGCAGTTGCCATCTTTCCAACTTTATCTCTTTGTTACATTAGCATGCAATAGTATCAAGTTTGGAAAAGAAACATTACTTGGATACAGTATTCTCCTAAAAAACTGAAATAAACTTTTCACAGATTTAAAATTAAAAGAAGCATGAAACTTTTTTACCCTGAGGCTGAGAGCCTAGGGTTGAGAAGTTTCTAGTCCTGGGCACTTGCTCAGTTTCCAAATCCTTAAATAGACACTGGCTCAGGGCTGCTTCCTTGACATGCCAGGTCTCAGCCTGCATCAAACTGAACAGTTAACCCAGTTTGGTTCTACAGGAATCCCAACACCTAAATCAATGGTAAAACAAAGAATACCCATTGGAGGTTCCTGTGTCACTGGGTTATTTGACAGATAGGGGATTCAATCCTTTCGTGTGCTTTGGGTCAAGATTTGTGGAGGAACAAAAGGTACCTAGAACACAGGTTACATCACTGCACTTCTTTCCTCTTTCAAAAAGGGTAGTACGAATCTCTCAGACCTGAGGAACACGTCAAACATAAGACTTATCTTATAAGACTTATTAGTCTTATAAGACTACTGCCATAATGTGCTATCTTGACACATACCCCAAACAACAGAGCCAGTCTATCATGAACTAGTGATATGCTCAAATTCGGGACCTCCAAAAGACCACCAGAGACCAAGATCAATGTACGCAGCAAAGAGGCATTTGTTGTGAGCTACTTCAGTCCTCTGCGCACACAGCAACTGGTGAGGCTGAAAGGCCCCAAGCCCAGGGTTTGCAGCAGTTTTATACACTCTTTGGGAAGGCAGGGACTTCACATACATCATAGCATCTCTTAGCAAATCATCACACACCACGGGAAAATCAAACAACAACTCTAAAACATGATTAGCATACCACGTGGCGGGAAAGAATCTGGAAAGGATTATTGGTTAGTTTAAGGGGTTGACACACTTAAAAATGATTGTTTTAAACCATGACGGTGTTGCAAGGGGGGTACGTGTAGCAAGGGGGGGGTACGTGCCAAGCTGCAGGGCTTCTGGTTTAGATATTGGTCACTGCACCTAGGTGGGGGCCGTCTGGAATTTCAGATATTTTGACATCTGGCCTATCTTAGGCAATCACCATCTGTGGCTTTTCTGAGAACTGTTTGTGCAGAGCTTTCTGTGGTATTTCCTGACTTTAGGACTGCAGTAGGTCAGGGGTTAAGTCTCAGAGCAAAATGAGGTCCCAAGTAAAATGAGGTTGCTTAGGTCTTTTATTCCCCCATTTCTTTTTGGGTACCTTGGAAGCCAATCATGGATTCCTCTGAGTAAGCTCATAGGGTTCGACCCTACTACTTTTGTCCAGGGACTGGTACTGGGCTCGTAACACTATTAACTGGACTGTATTGATTCGTTCCTTTACAAAGGCTGCAAACGTATTTATAATACAGGGTCCTACTATTAAGGCAAGCATAATTACAAGTAAGGGTCCAACCAAAGCTGAAAGTAAAGTTGTGAGCCAGGGGGAATAATCAAACCATGATTCAAGCCATCCTTTCTGACGCTCTCTGTCTTTCCTCCGCTTCTCCAATCCTTCCTGTACTTTGGCTATTATTGTCTGATTACCCCGGAGTGGTTAACGTAAAAACAACATTCTTCTCCTAGTGCTGCACAAAGTCCTCCTTGTTGTAAAAACACTAAATCTAAGCCCCTTCGATTTTGAAGCACGACTTCTGCAAGGGATGCATGTAATTCCTCCAAATGTTTTACCTGTCTCTGTAGTTCTTGGATGTCCTCATCTATAGCTTCCCTCAGACTGGAAAAATAGGAGCGCCGTTCAATCAGGGCCGTTGTTCCAGTCCCCACTCCTACTGCTTCTAACAGGGCTCCTGCCGTGTCCGGCTAATGGAGCCAAGTCCGGCGAGGGACGGCGGGGTTAAAAATACACAGGACACCAAGGTTCTTCATCCAGGAGGGAGCGTGCGCGCTTTATTGCCAAATTTGTTCCCCTTATATATCTTTTAACAGCTGCGGGAAATCACTCAAAAGTGAGGAGGGAAGAGTAATAACTGCGTCCTTGGGTTACCATCGCGTCACCGTCCCCTATCAGGAGGCTCGAACAGGACAAGATGTTCCCGAGAGACACATATGCTCGAGGCAGATAAACAGGAGACCGCAAGCCCGTGTCACGGCCTTGTGAGCTGGCCACATTGACATGCAGAACAAAGAACTGGGGGTTGAGTCCCCAGGGGCCAGGGCGGGCCTGCTACCAGCAGGCTCCTATGGTTAATAGGCTACAGCTACTTCTCCCTTTACCTTCCTTTGTAATTCCTTATTTTCTAACCTGAGTATCACTTCTTCTTCAGAGTGGTAAATTAATCTGGGTACAAGTTGAACCATAACACAAAATCCGTGGGTACGGTTGAGCATGGCTATGTGAGCACAGGGGGTAAGGCCTGTGTCACATGCCCACCAACTGTTTTCTGATGGTAATAGATAAGTCATTTGGGTGGGTATAGGGGAAGTCTGATTGCATAAATGCTGCAGAGAGGGTGGTGGGTTTCCCACACAGCTGCCTTTCCCAATAACCTTCTCCAAGGTAAGTCCAGATTCCACTGGTTCCCATCGGCAGTCCTGTACTTTGCTAGTCAGTGTACAACTTCCTGGGAGAGCTATCCCCTCATAAAAGGGGAGTTGCATATCATAACATATCCAACATATCTGTCACCTGGGGTTGGGTTTTGTTTACAACATCATAAGTTTTTAGCAGTAGTTTCCACAAGGGAGCTCTCAAGGTGTTCTCCTCTGAAATGCCAGGCACAAGTAGGTTGGGCAGTTCAGGTGGAGAGTTTAGGTCCCTGTCCTCAGGGATCCTCTGGATAGTCTTAGGTACTTGGGTACTTTCGGGCATAATGGGGGTGTTAGCTGATGGTGGTGGGGCCAGGGCTTTCTTAGGTCCCACCACAGCGGGTACAATTTGGGTCTTTAAAACCTTGAGAATAAAAATGAGTCCTTCATCACTGCTTCCTATCTGGTAAAGTCTTATTCCCCAAGATTTTCCTTGTTCCCATCCTTGTGCCTCTTTTCCCTTTGGGGTGAATCTGGCTTGTATCCAGGAGTTCTGACTATGTGGTCTGGAGTATTTTACTAAGTCATCTTTGGCGACCTTCCAGGCTCTAGACCCTCCCACACTAGTCTCACATCCCCATTGCTTGCAATAATATTCTGTAGAACTCCCGCATTGCGGGGGTCGGGACTCTCTGGGGCATATGTACCAGGTATCCATTTTATAGGGAGGACCATTTAAGCCATCAGAGCTCAGGTACCTCTTTCTCATATAATGGATGGGTGTGTCAGAGCCTTTTTGTTTTGTTTGTTTCCACGACCCCTCAGCCAACTGGCAAAGATCAAACTCTAAGTCCGGGAACCATATCTGGGGTCCTTCCTGAGTTGCCAAGACTACATTATGTCCAATTGCTGGATTCTGGATTACCCAGGTCCACTTATATGGAAAATGGGGGTTATTACAAAGAATGGTACTAATGCAAGCAAGAATAAGCAGCCAGACTAATAATAGCATCCTAACTAGGGTTTAAACAATTAAGAAAATTGTCCTTATGACGAGTAACTTGCCACTTGGAATTCGAATCCGGAATGAAGTCACTCCTCATGGGGAACAAGTCCGTTGGCTTTGCATGAGAGTAGTGGATCCAGGTGGCGATCCCATTGACCTTGAGAGCAGTGGGCATCATGAGAATCACCACGTATGGTCCCTTCCAGCAAGGTTGCAGTGATTCCTGTTGATGTCTCTTTATGTAGACCTAGTCTCCGGAACAGAAGCTGTGTGGCTGAGGAGGGGGTCCTGTTTCATACAGAGCTTTGAGGTGGGACCACTCGTCCTGGTGGGCTTGTTGCAGGGCTTTTAGGGAATGTAAGAGGTCAGAGTCATCAAATTCTACAAGCAGGTGCTCAGACAAGCAGGGGATTATGGGAGGGGGTATGCCAAACATAATTTCAAAGGGAGTGGCTTCTAACTTATAAGGGGAATTCTGTACCCTATACAGGGCATAGGGAAGGAGGGCTACCCAGTCTCCGCCAGTCTCCATGGTCAATTTGGTTAGGGTCTCTTTTAGGGTTCTATTCATTCTCTCTACTTGTCCTGAACTTTGGGGTCTGTAAGCACAAAGCAATTTCCAATCTGCCCCAAGAATAGACACGAGTCCCTGACTTACCTTAGACACAAAGGCCGGTCCATTATCCGACCCTACCAAGACTGGGAAGCCGTACTTGGGTAAGATGTCTTCCAGCAACTTTTTAACTACTACTTGAGCTGTCTCACGCTTAGTTGGAAATCCTTCTACCCATCCTGAAAAAGTATCTATAAAAACTAAAAGGTACTTATATCCATATTTGCCACGTTTTACCGCAGTGAAGTCTACTTCCCAATAGGCTCCTGTTCTGTCTCGTCTCCTCTTACCGGATTCCCAGGGTTGATTGTGCTGTGGCCCGCATTCGTCAGCTGGCAGGCCTTACAGGTAGCAACAATCTGCTGGATCTTGGAATTTGCATTTTAAATCTTTATCTTAGCATGGCTTAGTAGGTCCTGCATTTTTCTCTCACCCATGTGGGTGG